GAGGTACCCGGGTCCTGGGAGAGGTGGATGAAAGCAAGAAGGGAAATTGCTGCTTTAGTAGCGTACGGGGAAAGAGCTGCCACTCTACAGTTCTGTCTTGAATGTCGGCGTAATCTAACCTTGCCGCATTGGGCAGGCGGTTCATCGTTTTTCAAGTGCCCACTTGAGATGCTTCAAGACCCCTGGAGCACGTCAGGTGCTTAGATCTCGTTTTGAGGAGTGATGTGGAATGACGCATCCTTCCAGATCCCAAAGCGTTGAATCAACGGTTGTACAAAGAGGTGTCCGAAGCTTAGCTGACAGCTGTTTTAGTAATAACAGTAAGACGCTGTCTGGGATAGGAAGTTACTGTTGCACTCGTTGAAACCTTAGGAAACATTTAAAGCAGTGTTGTCACAGGGATTGTAATTTCCACTGGACACCCGTGGTTAAACTGCGAACTAAGGTGAAGTGTGTTGCACATCCAGTGCTGTGTATGTAATGGTTCGGAATTATCTCTAATCCTAAAGTTGAAATGAGCCTGCATCTTCCGTCGTGTATTTCGTTTTCATTTTAGAATGGTTTGTGTAAATTATAAAGAAAGGCTAGGGAAATAGATATTTTAACATAAATTAACTGTTTATTAACAACATATGCACGGCCGGGTGCAGTGGCTCATGCCGATAATCCTAGCACTTTGGGAGGCCGAGGTGGGTAGATCACCTGAGGTCAGGAGTTCGAGACCAGCCTGACCAATATAGTGAAACCCCATCTCTACTAAAAATACAGAATTAGCCAGGCGTGGTGGCGCATGTCTGTAATCCCAGTTACTTGGGAAACTGAGGCAGGAGAATCGCTTGAACCCAGGCGGCAGAGGTTGCAGTGAGTCGAAATCGTGCCATTGCACTCCAGCCTGGGCAACAAGAGTGAAACTCCTTTTCAAAAACAAACAGAAAAACAAACAAAAAAACCAAAAACATATGCTGAAGTAGGACGTTAAAAATCTTGGGCACAGATCTGAGTTTCTTCAATTGTTATACAAAGCCTTTCCTGGAGATTAGCTCAGAACTGGCCGAACATATGCTCTATTGGTGCCAAGTGGCTTAAAAGCAAAATGAAATAGTGTCCACTGTGTAAGATGAAGTCGTTATATTAACTAATCTTGTTGAGAAAAATCTTTAATTTGGGTTAAAAGCGAAACCTTTAGAAGATTTGAAATATTTTCCCCTGGAGGTTATAGACAAGGGGAGATAGGTTTTAGTGCTTAAGAATCTTTTATTTGATACAGGCACTGAATACATTTCTGTAGCTCTACAGGCATCTTGGCTAAGGTCAAGTTTAACTCGTTATGTGTTTTATGTTAGAGATAGACGAGATGTTAAAATGGAAGGAAAATGAGTGTTAAGTGTACTTATGTAGAATACTTTTAATGTTCTTAATCTCATAGTTCTCATAGTAGTTGTTAAGAATTAGTTATTGGAATAGTTTCATGAACTACACAGAACTGGGAAAGTGGAAATCTCTGGGTGTGTATTCCATGAAGAATATTTGAGGAGGAGTAAAGAGAACAAAAATATTCAGACGAGGAAAGAATTTAGCTGAAAATACATTGTGCAGACTTATACTGGTTTGTTAATACCGAAGGGGGAAAAAAAGCCTGAATTTTATTTGCAGACTAGTGTCCAGCTGGTAGAATGAGTTTAAAAGGAAGATGTTTTTATCAAGCTGTCGATACTACTTTTTCCCTATAGAAGCTGGAAAACATGACTGATACTCTTTTGAAGTAGATTGGAGAAATGGTAGGATATTTGGAAAACACTTCGTTGGAGAAGAGATTTTTATTCTTAAAAAAATATTAAGAGTGGTTGTAAAAGTATCATTTTGATTTCTTGCTATTAGCTGACACGTAAACTTTTCTTTAAACCATTCTTACGTTTTAATAGCATTATTTCAGTCCAAAAAGAGGATGGTTAATGGAGTCATTTCCATCCTAGTTCATAAGAGGTTTCTCCTACTACTTTCTGTATGTAGACTTAGTCATGTTAAGGTAACATGTATCACGTGGTCGTGAAGAATTTGTCGAATAATTGCTGTAGGTTGCTTAAGAGCTATTGACACTGCTTTCTAACTTGGAATTTGTTGCTAACAACATGTATTTGTAAAGTGCGTATGCCTTATAAAGGATACAGTGTTGAGATTTATCCTTGGGACTGGAAGGGACCTGTGATTTTCTTATTCGTTTCCTTTATTTTTACACATGAGAAAATAAAGGTGAAAACACTTGAAGGTAGTCTGCAGCTAGTTAAAAACAACCTGTGGTTTGACCGAGAGGTTTCTTTCTGTGAAGATGCTAATTTGCCTCTTCAGAAGTCTTATGGAGTTGTGGAAAGGACATTGAAATATAAGTGAGAAGGCCTGGGTTTAAATTCTTGATTTATCACTTCCTCACTTCCTAACAACGGTTTTTGACATATCGCATTCACTTTCAGAACCTTGCCTTCTATCAGCTGCAACTTTAAAAATACAATAATAATAATAACTTTGCCTTCTTAACCTGCAAAAGTAATTTTCCTGCATAATTTAATGTTATTCTGTGGAACAAATGAGAATATTTTAGAAAGCACATTGTATACTGTAAACTTCTGTACAACGTGGTAATGTTATTTTTAAAGAAAATACAATTCTTAAAGCATAACAAGGTGTTTAGATCCCTGAATTTTTGCATAGCCCTAGCTTTGTTTTCATCTTCTGCTGTTTTACAGATTATAACTCCTGTAGATACGTTTTCTGATCCCCACTTAGTTCTAACCTTAGTTAAGCTGCTTATGAACATTTTAAATATTGCAGTTATTAATCTGACTTTCCCTGGAGAATATGAAGTTTCTTTAGCATTTGAAAATATTCTCATACATACTCATGCATTCATAATCTGTTTCTGTAACAGACAATGGCTTTTTAAAAGTAATAGTGAAAGTAATCTTAGTAGCAATGTTAATTTATTTGACTCTTGCTAGTTTTCAGATACGCAAAAGCAGGAGATGATTTCCTTTAAAAACTCGTCTTTGAATAGTTCATGTTAAGGTTATCTGGTATATCTAAAATATTTAGAAGTGTTAAAAACAGTTTTTGTTTGCCTTTGCTGTTAAGTTTGAAACTTCTTAGTGCTGTAAATTGATAATCCTGGAAACCAACATCAGTGTTGTAGTATTACATAGATTATCGGAGTTTTTATAGTTTTGAAAATAAAGCTACTAATAATCATAGATAATATTTGCTGAACACTTAGAATATGCAAATCTCCGTTTTAACTGAAACATTTTAGGTAATTTTCATAATAACCTTGTAAAATGGAGAGGAAACTGAGGCTGTGAACAGTTATGTGATGTGTAGATTTTACACACTAAATAATAGATTTCATTGTCCTGTTTTATTAACCATTTATCTGCTGTGCCTCTAATTAAGTTGGTTTTCTAAGAGTTTTAAGGCAGGGATTCTTAAATTTCAGATTTCATGAAAAACGTTTGGGGGACAGCTATTCTACCTTCTTGGTGGTTCGGGGAAAAAAAAAAAAAAAGTACCTTTATGGGAATCATAGAACGTAGGCCAGCAACCCTTTTTATGAGATGCAGATATACTTGTTGCTGTGGTGGTGGTTTTTTATTAGTTGTCAGAGCACATTATTCTTACCAGCTACGGAAAGGGCCATGGTTGTTGGCTATCCTAACGAATTCCACCTTTCTATTGATACCATTCTTCTAAAGAGACATTCTTTCGTCACAGTGACTGAAGAAAAACTAACCAAACTCATTTAGGACTTTCATAAGGAAATAGATCCAGCAATAGAAAATTTGCTGAGTTTGTCCAGCTTAGAAAACAGTATCCAAGATCAGGTTTTCTGATTGGTGCAATCCTCCAAAATTCTAAGAAACTCAAATTCAAACATAAGTCCTTAGAAA